GCTGAGCGGGCAAGACAAGAAGCCGAGTGCAAGCGTCGGGAGCAGCGGTGAGGGCATTGGGATCCGCCGGCGCCACGGCGTCTCCGCGGCCTGCTGAGGTGCACAGGGGTCCCGCGCCCAAGACAGGCAAGGGAGGAACGCAGTCAGCTGGAAGTGATAGGCCCAGCGATTCCCCTGGGTGAACGCAGCCCTCCACCACCGCGACATCTAGCCCCCAGGAGCCTGAGAGAGGGGCCTGGAGAGGGAGCGGGAGGCCGTAGGGCTGCATCCGGGGATTGAGATGCAGAAAGATTCAGGCCTGTGAGAAGCCAGGGGCCTGCGGCACCTATTGGGAGGAAGGGGGCAGTCGAGGAGGAAATTGCAGAGAAGCTAAATGACTGCCCCACCTGGACCCGCCGTGGGACACCTCCCGGGCAGTGCCTGGGGGTCCTCCCTGAGCCCCTTGCGGAAAGGGCAGCGAGGTGGTGGGACAGCGAGCTCCTTGGCTGCGTGTCTGTCACAGGCCTCTCTCCGTTAATGTCCCAACGTAAGTCCCCAGGGCTACAGCGTCCCAGGGAGCCTGGGCGAGCTACAGAGCAAAGTCAAGAGGTACAGCTGGAGCAGCCGAGCTGCTGTCCCAGGGCAGAGGGAGACGGTGCGGCTCCTCTCCTTCATGCGTTGCCACTCTGCTGCTCTTTACTAGCTTGCCGTTCAGACCCACCTTCCTGCTGCGCACGCTCCCGCACTGGATGGCATCAAGGGCCATGGGCTGTAGGCAGCAGCGGTTCCCACAGCCCGCATCCGCAGGGTTTCCTCGGGCCATAGAAAGGGCCATTCAAATCCTGTGTGTGCACGCGCGCACACACACACACACACATTCTCTCTCTCACACACACACACACACACACTCTCTCTCTCTCTCTCTCGCTCTCTCTCACACTCACTCTCACACACACACACACTCTAGCTCTCTCTCTCACACACACACACACACACATTCACAGGAGCTGGGACTTTCAGAAAGTCTCCTCATTGTGGGAGACTCTGAATAAGATCGAGGGAGTTGGTGACATGGGGGTGCACACGGCAGGGGCAATGAAGCCCAGGAGAAGAGGCCTGCAGGGGCAGGCCGCACAAAGGAGAGCAGTAGGAGACGTTCCAGGAAGTGGAATATTTCAGACATCTTGGGTCAGATTCAGGGAAGAGTCTAAATAAGCCTAGTGGAATTTGTGGGGATCCTTCCCCGAACCCCCTTCCAAATACAGGTTACACCAAGTTAGCCTGGCCTCCCTGAGACAGCAATGCGCAGACCCGCTTTACCATCCCAGCCACTCATCCAGACTTATTAACCGGAATGGGGCAGCCCTTTGCAGTCCGACTCGCTAACTCCTGTCCCTTCCAAGTAACCGCCCAGCCGGAGCCCACTCCGTGGGCAGCTAAAGGCTAACGTGGAGCGAGGGCGCTAATCGCATGCTTTGTGTTTTACTCCGACCGGCTTGCAGTTGCCACGTCCGCTTTACCATCCCAGCCACTCATCCAGACTTATTAACCGGAATGGGGCAGCCCTTTGCAGTCCGACTCGCTAACTCCTGTCCCTTCCAAGTAACCGCCCAGCCGGAGCCCACTCCGTGGGCAGCTAAAGGCTAACGTGGAGCGAGGGCGCTAATCGCATGCTTTGTGTTTTACTCCGACCGGCTTGCAGTTGCCACGTCTGGGCCACAGAGACTGGAGACCTGGACCAGTCTTGAAGGGGAATCAGCCCTAGCTGGGGGTAAGTTTAAGCAAGACCAAGGTATATAGGGTTGTTAGATGGTTTCAGAAAAAATAGCGAACAACGACAGCAAAGCACACCGGGAAAAGGTTTGTTGAGCAAAAACCAAAAAAAAAAAACCCTTCACCGTGGCCCCTTTAAAAACCATGCGGTGAGGCTTTTTAGCCCTAACAGACTACTGGCGGCTTCCCTGTGCCGGGCTGGACAGCTCCCTGGTAAGCACTAGGGTTACCAGGCTGCTGCCGTATTGAACCGGACAGCCTGGATTTTCGCCTCCTGGCCGGGAAAAAATCAGAAAATTCCGAACATTTTAGGTGTCCAGTATTTTCTGAAATTTTTACTGAACAGGAGGTGAAAATAATGGGCTGTCCGGTTCAATACTGGACACCTGGCAACCCTGAGGCTCTGTCTAGATTTCATCCCTTTTTCGTAAATTCCGTATTGCAATTGCTAATGAAGCGGGGAGTTAAATCTCCCCCGCTTCATTAGCATAAACATGGCTGCCGCTTTGTTTTGGCTCGGAGCTTTGCCGGAAAAAAGCGCCAGTCTAGACGCGGATCTTTCGGAAAATAAAGCCTTTTCTGAAAGATCCCTTATTCCTCTTAAAATAAGGCTTTATTTTCCGAAAGATCCGCGTCTAGACTGGCGCTTTTTTCCGGCAAAGCTCCAATCCGAAAAAAAGCGATATGTCTAATTTGCATCCCTTTTACGAAAAAGGGATGCAATCTAGATGTAGCCTAGAGGTATAGTAGCTGAAATGGCAAAAGCTGCAAGCAGTGGCCGGGGAGAGCTCGTAGACGAGCCCAAGGAAGGACCCATTTCAGTCTGCTATGGCTGGTCTCCTCTCCCTGACTCCTCTCTGCCTCTGCCCTTTCTCCTGTGAAGGAGCTTGGAGTCAGCTCCCCTGCCGAGGTTCCAGGTGGGACCAGGTCATTAGCGTTTCCTGAGGACTTTCCTTTGGCGTGGCAGAAGTAAACAGATTCTCATTATTACTGCAGGACGTAGAGACCCTGGTTGGGGCCGCCTCGCTGCACTAGGCCTCCTATAACAAAATGCTGCAAAGGCAGAGAGCCGGGAGTTGAGTGTTCACAGAGCACAGACAGGGTGGGCGAGAAAGTACCTTTCCTTGGACCCACGTGTGTGAGTGACACAAGCGCGTCTGTGGGTCAGGAGGTCTGTCGGTTCGGTTGCCAGTGCCCTTCGGAGACCAGCGCTGTGACATTCCCAGGGTACAGTCTGGGCTGTTGTACAGCTGCGTCCCCTTCGCTCTCCAACCGCGTTTCCTTGTGCACGGCTTCACTGTGGCTCAGTCTACACTACAGAGTTTTTCCAAAAAGACTCGCAGAGCATCTACACCTCAAGCGCATTTTTGCGCAAAAAGATGGAAAGAACAGAGGGGGTTTTCCGGCGTAGGTATTCCTCATTCTACGAGGAAGAATTGTGTGTGGACGGGGAAGAGGCGTTTTTTGCTCAAGAAGAGGAAAAAGCACAGATGCCCTGGCGGCCATTCTGTGCATACCAATCAGAGCTTACTTTCGAGAGAGCATCCATGCAGTCTGGACGCTCTCTTTTGCAAAAACGCATCGCTTTTCCGATGTGCTTTGGCAGTGTGCACATGCTCTTGCACAAGAAGTGTTTATGGAAGATCTCTTCTGATAAAAGCTTCTTGCGCAAGAAGCCTGCAGTCTAGATGTAGTCTGTGAGAGCTGTCGCTCTTGGTCTGCTCCCCCAGCCTGCAAGGTTGTTCCCAGTGACTGATACCGGCACTTCTAGGCAGCCCTGCATTATGTTGCAGAAGCAAATTCCTAGTCGCAGACTTACCCCCAGAAATGTGTGTCTTCTATTGCCAGCTTTTTCCTTCTGGCCAAGGCAAGCTCACAGAAAGGCTGTCACTTGGTAAGAGAAAACAATTTGCATGCACTCAAGTGGAGATTCCCAAACACTTCAATCCAAACTCACGCGGTTTTACGTAATGCAATAAAGCAAGTGTCTTAAGTGCAGAAGGATAGATTCCAAGTAATTTCGCGTGAGGAGGCAGATTTGATTACAATGACATAAAAGCTAAAATACAAACCAATAACAAGCTAAGTGTATTCTCAAAACAAAAAGTTTTCTCAGCACATGCTCAGAGCAGTCTGACTGGATTCCTTCAGCAAGACCACTCCCCCAGTTCAGTGATGTTTCCTTTGTCTTTCAAACACGGTTGATGCCACGAGAGGATCAGATGAGGGGAAAGAAATTATTTGGGGTTTCTGATCCTCATTTTTGTCTTTTCCTCTCAGAATCCTTTCCAGTTGGGGTTCAGGCAACAGCAAGTCTGTTCCTTTGCCAAGATGTAATTTTTTTGCTTGCCGCCTTCTTGTCAACAAGAGGCCATTTAACCAGGTGATAGTTCATTTGATTATGTTGACACCTGGCTGAAGTATTGGCTAGCTTTTTGTCTTTGCGGAACTGGCCTGAGGCTGTTTCCCCAAACTTGGAACATGCTTTATACAGTAGAGTTTTATAACTCGCTATACAATGGCACCACATAGATTTTACCAGGACACTGATGTTCAGCAGATTATGAGTTTTCAGGTAAAACCTCACAAGGCATATTTTGTACAAAATGGATTATAGACTTACAAAAAGGGTGAGAGGGTACAGACTGTCACTGTATCACAAAGTGCTGTCTCTTGCTTATTAGTGAGGTTGCATGTGGCAGGTTTCCTGACCTGGCCTCCCTTCGACATTCCTCACTGGATAACTCCAGACCTGAGAGAGAGCTCAGGGAAGCTTTTTCCTTCTACCTACAGAAGGTGATCCGAGAGAAGATATTCCCTCGCCCATCTTGTCCTAGCCTAGTGGTTAGACAGTGTGCAACAAGGAATAAATAGACAAAAAGGGAGGACACTGGCTATGAGGAGGAACCAGTACTTTGCGGTCAGTTTTAATGTGTTGCTGCTTTCTGAACAGAACATGCTTTCTGTCAGGAACTGGACTCTCCCGGAGCATGCTCCAAGCGCCGACTGATGAAATGCTGAGCCTCTAGAGCATCTCCCATAAGCCTTGTCACTGTCCGTACTGCAGTGGGGCATACAGACCAGGGGCCTTCTCTGCCTGGCGCTGTCCGGAGACCCAGGCAGATCCAGTCCCTGTCCCCTGGACACTCCCTGACAAGCCCAACCCTTTGATGCTGCACAAACACCTGGCCTGGTCTCTCTCCTGGAGCTGCCACCGCCTCCTGATTTGGGAGGGTGGCACTGGAATGGAGGATGAGCAGCCTAGTGATTAGAGCAATAGCCAGAGACCCAGGTTTGATTCCTCACTCTGCCACAGGCTCCCTGTGTGATCTTGGGCAAGTTACTTAGTCTCTCTGGGCCTCGGGTCCATCTGTGCAATGGGGCAATAGCCCTGCCCTGCCCCCGGCAGCAATGGTAGAGCCGCTCAGACCGTATGGCAACGGGAGCTCCCTGAGCTGGATAAGCCGGCGGGGTTGCTTACACCTGCTCCAAGGCCAGCCACGGCTGCTCGAGTCGCTGGAGGAAGGCATCCAGAGGCTGCCGCAGCCCCCTGTCACATCCCATCATGCTCACACGGCCTCTCGTCCTTTCTCTTGCAGCACATTCCCACTACCTGTACGGCTACACGCTGGCTGCCTTCCGGGACTAGGCCGGAATCCAGACCACGCCTGCCCCTCTGCTCCAAAGACCAGGCGCTACAGGCCACGTGGACCGAGAAGGGTGTTCTCCCCTTCTGCTTGTACACAGCCCCACCCTCTCCCCCGCCTCCTGGGTGCCCCTCCGTCCAGTAACCTCACTGGCTTTGCAGCCACCCTCCCTCTGCACGGACACAGACTCCTTCAGGAGCCGTACAGGGCACCAGTGTGCTGCAGGCACGGTCAGTCGGCCACGCCACGTTTCTGACAGCAGGGCCTGGCCCGGTGCGCAGGGCGGAGACGCCGTGAGGCTGGTCGACAAGATTCGTCCACTTTGTTTCCGTGTCTGGTTCGTTTTGCCGATCTGTCCGAGGGACCTGCGCCTCCGTCTCCTCGCCACAGGCACCGGGGAGCCAAGGAGGCCTCCGCCCAGAGGACGACCGCGAATCTCCCTTTTCTGTGATACACGAGCCGTGGTGCCGGGCCTCGTGGCTGCGAGCTTCTGCCAGGACAGGCTGTGGCTGGGGAGGAGCACAGCACCAAGCCATCGTGCTGCCTGGAGGGCAGGCGATCAGCCGTGATGCCAAAGGAGGCTGCCCCATGAGGGGCCAGAGGGGTCTGTGAAGGGACAGAGGTGGGGGCTTCTAAGGGGGATAGGGAGGGATTTGTGCTGCTATAGAGGGGGCTGCCCCTCCAGTGCTGAGGGGGGCCGTGTTGGCGCCAGGAGGGAGCTGCCCCTCAGGGGCTATGGGGGGCCGTGTTGGCGCTAGGAGGGAGCTGCCCCTCAGGGGCTATGGGGGGCCGTGTTGGCGCTAGGAGGGAGCTGCCCCTCAGGGGCTATGGGGGGCCGTGTTGGCGCTAGGAGGGAGCTGCCCCTCAGGGGCTATGGGGGGCCGTGTTGGCGCTAGGAGGGAGCTGCCCCTCAGGGGCTATGGGGGGCCGTGTTGGCGCTAGGAGGGAGCTGCCCCTCAGGGGCTATGGGGGGCCGTGTTGGCGCTAGGAGGGAGCTGCCCCTCAGGGGCTATGGGGGGCCGTGTTGGCGCTAGGAGGGAGCTGCCCCTCAGGGGCTATGGGGGGCCGTGTTGGCGCTAGGAGGGAGCTGCCCCTCAGGGGCTATGGGGGGCCGTGTTGGCGCTAGGAGGGAGCTGCCCCTCAGGGGCTATGGGGGGCCGTGTTGGCGCTAGGAGGGAGCTGCCCCTCAGGGGCTATGGGGGGCCGTGTTGGCGCTAGGAGGGAGCTGCCCCTCAGGGGATATGGGGGGCCGTGTTGGTGCCAGGAGGGGGCTGCCCTGCGGAAAAGTGAGTGTTTTCGGGCGCCTCATGTGCACTGAGCAGTGTCTGTGTGTGTGACCTGAGCCAGGACTAAGAGCACCCTGAGATTTCGAGGCACCCAGCCCCTCCCCAACAGGCTGTGAGGAGGAGGCCAGGAGCTGCCCCTCCCACGCCTCCCCCTCCAGCCACGTAAGCTCTAGAAATACAGCTGAACTTGACACGTTAGAAGTTCAAACAGTGGATGATCCCCCCCCTCCCTTGGGTGCCCAGGAACTGACCCCTCCTGCCCCGTGGGTGGGTGCCCTGGGAGCCCCCCCCCACCACCCGCCACTCTTGAAGGTAGGGAGCGATGGATGCAGGAGGCTCCACTCTTTTCGTTTCTTCCTCGTAGGCTAGGATCTCTGTGTCTCCTCCCGCCACTTTTGCCTTGTGTGGCCCCTGTTTCTGGTGTGGTATTTATAGATGGCTGAAATGCCTATACTCTAATGTGCTGTCTGGAAGTGCAATATCAGAGAGACTGTACAGTCGCAACGTCTTTTGGTGTATTACTTCTCTAATACAGTATTAAATATTTTTTTAATTTGAAGAGTCAGTGACCCCTTTATATCGATGCCCTCTTTTTTTGGTCATGTTATTGGTACTGCATGGATTCCACGCCCTCCCGGGCTGGGGAAGGATGTACGTGTGTTCCAATAAACAGGATTTTAAAGCAACGCCGGCTTGTGCTTTCTTCTCCTCTGGACCCGCGCCCAAGCTCAACCTCAGCTTCCCCAGGTGCCGTTGAGCAGCGCCACTAAATAAAGGCGGGGGCTCGAACGCCATCGGTAGGTGTCTTTGGGCAATTGGAGGCTGATGGGCATGTCTTGGAATGAAAACATCCCAGCGGGGCTCTTGGGTGCATAGAGCCTGTTCTGCTTGCAAGAGACGAGCTCCCTTGTGTCGTTGTCCCTTGTTCTGCAGGGTGGCTTCATACCTCGTCCTCACCAGCATCTTCTCTGCCCTGTTCTTGGTTCTCTGCCATGCTGATGTCACCCTCGGGAAACAACTCCCCAAAATGATTGGTCATTGCTACGTGACAGGGTCCCCTGTTTCTGTATGCCCTTCTGGGACTTGCGGCTTCACAGCCCCAGACTTGGACATTAGCAAACCAGGAAATGTAGAGCCAAGCCGCCTCTCCCGCAAGACGTATTAGGGGGACAAGATCCAACAATCCATAAACCTGGACATTTTGCAGGGCTGTGGTCATAGAGCGTCACTCACAAGACAGCAACGGTGCCCCCTTTCGGGTGCCAACTCCGTATTGTAGAGCGCCTTTGGGAGTGGGCAGTACGAGAGGGACCCGCTGGAGCCTTGCTGTAGGAACACCTCCAATGCATGGTTAGCCAATTTAATTGATGGTTGAGTTGCGGCTGGGCCTGCTTTGGGCAAGGGGCTGGACTCGGTGACCCCCTGAGGTCTCTGCCGGCCCTGGGATTCTAAGAACTGTGATTGGACAAATGGTAAAAGGCAGCACAGCATGCTATGTCAACCAACAACAGTGACAGCTCCTGTTGATGCACGACTGGGTGAGGCGGAGTCCGGATTTGGTATGGCAGCAGAAACGGAGGAAAAGGCTGTTTTTGTTAGGGAAGGACCAGGTCCCGTTGTGTCCCAGCCGGGGCGGAGCTGAGGCAGGGCTGTGCGAGAAGGAACGTGGGAACTCTCCTTTCCGAGTTGCCTGGTTCGAGTGCTGTGGGACGGGAGCCAAGGCGCGGGTTCGGAAGAGAGCGACGTACCAGTTCACAGCTTGGCACACATTCCTCCCGGAGGAGGCTTCTGAGATGCTCTGATCAGCTTCCCAAAGTACCCACATGGGGAGACGGCTGCGCCTAGAAACCGCTTTTTAAAAAGCAGACCGAGCTTGTTTATGCTGCGATTCCACAGCTGGCAATTGAAGCTAGATAAATTCAGACTAGAAATAAGTAGAGCCCTGCCAATCCCCGGATATCTGCCTTACAGCCGCATCGATGTGGATATCTGCTGCTCGTTTTTGTGGATACGAGGTAGATATGGATACAGATTTTGTACCCATGCAGGGCTTTAGGAATAAGGTGCAATGTTTTAGCAACGAGAGTAACTAACTGTTGGAACAAGTTACTGATGGGTGGAGACTGATGGTTTTCCCACCTTGGCAATGATTTGCTCTTGTTCAAACACTATGGCTGTGTCTACACTGGTGCGATCTCGCGCAAAAGAGGCCGCTCTTGTGCAAAAACTTGCTGCCGGTCTACACTGGCTGCGTGTTCTTGCGCAAGTAAACTGATGTTCTACTGTATAAAATCAGGGCTTCTTGCGCCAGAACTCTGATACTCCCGCTCAGGAACAAGCCCTTTTGCGCAACCGTTCTTGCGCAAGAGGCCAGTGTAGACAGGCAACATGAATTTCTTGCGCAAGAAAGCTCGATGGTTAAAATGGCCACCAGAGCTTTCTTACACAAGAGAGCGACTACACTGGCACGGATGCTCTTGTGCAAAAGCACATGCCAGTGTAGACACTCTCTTCTGGAAGAGTTTTTGCACAAGAACTCTTCCATAAAAGAGTTTTTGTGTGAGAATGCGCCAGTGTAGACGTAGCCTAGGGGTCTCCTAGCAGGAATCACCGAGTGAAATGCCCTGCCCTGCGCTATACCAGAGGACAGACTGGAGATCCCAGTCCTTTCTAGCCTTACAGATGTAGGAATCTTTGAACCGGTGCAGATGACACATCTGGAGCGAGATGCATGTACTAAGGGCTGGGAGAAGGGGCATTCATCTTTCTTCCACCACAGGGAATCTGGCAGCTGAGGTCTTGCAGGCAAGCTGCATGAAGCCCAAGCAGAGCAAAGGAGGGGTGTGGTCCATTTGTCTGAGCATGGGACGAGGCTCCAGGGATTTCTCCTTACAAACCCCAAGCTGAGCTCTGGCCCTCTGCGCCATACCTAACTCACAGGAGTGTTACTTTATTATTACTTTTTGTATTGCGCTAGCTCCTGCCCCAGCCATGGGCCTTGCCCCCACTGCATGCTGGGAGCTGTACAAACACAGCACAGAAAGCCATTCCCTGTCCCAAAGAGCTTACACTAGGAAAGCACGTTGCAGATGTTTTGTGACGATCAGTTGTGCAGCGTTCCCTGTAAGATGAGTTCTTGGGCAACCACCCAAGAGGGATTCAAATGTTGCCCAGCTGATCAGCAGAGTGCCCACAGTCTCCCACAGCCAGCAGCATGTATTTCTACTGGTGGTGCACATCTACATGTCTCAGTACATGTAACAAAATTTATTCCACACATGGATGGAAAAATTGGTTGTAAGGGAAGCTCATGATATGAACATGCTGGGAACTATGTGAGTGTCTGTAAGGGGAATATTCTGTGTAGTGTCCCGTCCATTTCTCAGTGCAATTAGCACTGGGACTCCTGCTGACTTGCATCCTCATCTCCTGTGTGGTTAGCAAACGGCTATGGGCTGCCAGGATTCCCAATGGAAGTGCATCCACCGAGCCTTGCCAATCCACGGATCTCTGCAGCTCGTTTTTGTGGATACAGAGGCGAATACAAATTTTGTATCTAGAGCCCTGCAGTCCATTTGCTCTCTGAGTGCATGGGTGTGGATCTCTGCAGATCAGTTTTGCAGATGTGGATACCAATTCTGTATCCACGCAGGGTTCTACAGATCCACAAGGCTGGCATGAAGCGCCATGCCTAAGACAGGGACAGCCGCCCGCAGGTAACACAGAGACCCAGCAACCATTTCAAACGAGAATGCCTTTATTTTTAAAAAATTCCAAATAAGTTAGCAAAAATAACAATTAAAAAACCACCCCGACAACTCCCCCCAGCGCTCAGTAGAAAAGACCCCGATGGCAGCATTTACATGGCTCCCGCGCCTGCAGAACACCAGCTGGCAAAGGAAGTTGGTCAAACAGCATCTTTTTAAAAAAAACACACACACACGCAAACATTGGCCCCCAAAGAAACAAACTTCCACTGGCAGGGAACGGAACACTGAGCCCGTGCCGGATCCTTCCTGCTCACCTGGACGCTGTGTCGTTTCTGCCTCTCCCCTTAAGTACCAGCTACAACAGATCATGTCAAAATGCTTTGATCAGTTGCTTCTAGCCGTTTTTTGGGAGCGGCCGAGCACCCATCACTCCTATTGAAGGGGGGACTCAGCATTCCTGGAAATCAGGTCCCTAGGTTGCGTATTAATGTCGGGTACATTGCAAAAAGCCTGTTTCTCCTTTGTCTCTTAGCTAACCCAGTGGAAACACTCTGCAGTGATTAGGAAATTGGGTAAGTGGCTTGGCTGGTTATAGTCTATGACTTCGGACTGAAGAGCCCTGGTGCCTTATTCCCATCTCATTACCAGCCAGGGAAGACTCTGAAAAGCCCCGGAGGCTCAGTTTTGAACTCTCTCTTCTTGGAACGTGACAGCCACGTCCTCCACAGCGATGCTTTCAACAATGGAAGACAGGGAGTGGAGGGTGCGGTCTTCAGAGGACTCATCAGTTAACAGGTGATCTATGGGGAGCAAGAGAGGAAACCGTATGAAGGTGACTTGCGGGGACTGACCTGCCACTGGCAGCTGCAAGGGAAGGTGCTAATCTCTGCAGGGCTGCCCAGTCTCCCCGTTCTACCACTGGCAGGTCATGGAAGATCAATGCTTAGCATGTGGCTCTCTCATCAGACACGTGGGCCTGGGAAAAGGTGACAACTGTTCCCTGCCTGAGCCCTGAGCAGTGCAGAAGGGA